ACATATCTATCTATCTATCTATCTATCTATCTATCTATCTATCTATCTATATCTACTTACCTATCAATCTACCATCTATCTGTGTATCTATGTATCTGTCATCTATCTATTCATCATCTATCATATATTTCTATCTATCAATCAACCTATCACCTTTCTATCAACTATCTATCTATCTATCTATCTATCTATCTATCTATCTATCTATCATCATCATCATCTGTTTCTGTGCTCATTAATTTGGTCCCTAGTCACTTGACTCATTCTCTCTACATCTGAGACTTGGGCACTGAGAAAACTCAGAGCCAGAAATTGGAATAAGGTAACCTATCCTCCATTAATGATGACCATTGGATTTTAATCTCCATGCTAACCTCAATAGAGTAATAATTGAGGAAGATTTTTTGCTGAGCAAAATTCTGGTGACGTGTCCAAATTTAGTTTGACATAGTTCCCATGCTTGACTAGTAATTTCTGCTTTGAACACATGTACAAATTCATGGCTTGTATTCTACATACTTGCCAGCTAGACACAGACAATTTTGCTACAGGGGCCTTGGGCCAAAAAAATCTATGATATCATGCCACATTGAAATGCAGCATTACCCATGATAGAATGCTGCACTGTGTGTATAATATATGTTCTATAAAGAGATGGTGTGTACCTTCTATAGCTTACAACCAAATTTAAGGTAAGCCAAACCTAATCTCTATTCTGTTGTCAGGGCCTTGAACCCACACATCTACTATTATTCATTCCAACAATACAAAAAGAAATGGCTTAATGGAAAAGATTTTGTTAGATTCTAGGATAAGCTGATCACTCCCATCCAATGGAAAACCGAGAAATCATTCCCTATACTGAAATTATTTTCTACTAATTCTCCCTCTTGTTTAATCCACCTCCCAAATTGTTCATACTAATTCCCCATCTTGTAATTGTTTCCCTCCCCTATGGGTGTGTAGAAAGGGTAGGGACCCATCACTACAACAAGGTTCCCAGTCTCCAAAGCATGTACATCTAGTGCCTTCTCTCTGACAATGACTATAATAGGCACACTTCAGTAGAGAGGTTCTGGCCTTGTTTTAGATTTCTGAATGCACTTGGCAAGAAAGCCAGTTTCCAACAGCTTCAGGCAGGTTCTTCTGAGTGAACTCTGGAGGAAGGACCAGTAGGAAGCCTGGGGTGTTTGACCAGGTCAAACATGGATCGAATTGTAAAGTGAATGTAGAGCACAGTGTAGTAAAACACTACAAACCCATTCTCAATAACTGCAAGTTTGTGACGTCATGTTTAATATACATGCCCAGTCTTCAAACCCATGGAAATTTTGAAGTCAATCAGAGCCATCCTATGTTTTGAGAGTCATGTATGTTTCCTGTGTATTTTGAAAAGAGAAAGATGATAAAATCCACAAAGGATTCTTTTTACATAAGCAATAAATCCCACTGTGAGCCAAGTGTTAAAACGGGCAGTGGTAATATCCTAGCCCCATCCCTCTTTTGTTTAATCTCTGATCCACCCACTGCCTTTTGCTGCTCAGGGTCATGATGTTCTTCACGGAGACAGCTTCCCACAGTTGACATTTGGCTGACTGCATCACCCTGCTATCCTTTTCCATCTGACCCGGGCCTAGAGCTTCTCTACACTGGGTAGTGGAGCCTTTCATCAGCTCTGAGTTGGCAGGTAACTGTTAGGTGGCACAAAAGGTTCCCTTTCCTCTGCTTTTTTATTTTACAGTGGTACCACTGCGAAGACATCATGAGCCTGCTCTGTCAGCGTTACATTCCCCAACAGCTTTTCACATCACTCACACCCGCCTGGACCCTATTTCATCAAGGGTTTCAAGATGGAATGCTACCATCTCTTCTTCAGTTTGGAGAGTTGCTGCAGTCTCAGAGAGAAAGATGAGTTAGAAAAAGGTTAATAAGGAAGGCAGGGAAATCAAAGAAAGGGCCACAGGCAGAAAAGGCTATAATAAAGTTGCTGGGACAAAGGTCTTGGGCATTTGAGAATGAAAGGTATTGCTAAATTGTCCTCTGGAAAGGTTAAACTGTCTTCTATTTTCAGTAAGTGTTCAGGAGTCCCCATATCCTTGCTCTGCCTATCTGACAGGTGAAATTTTTCCTGTTTTGTAACCATTTCTAAGGGAAATGAAGCTCATGCCCACCACTTACTGGTGATTAGTATTCATTCTGTTGTGAAAGTCTGTTGATCGCTTTTGTTTGTTTTCCTATTGTTTTGTTTACAAGGTGTTTCTTGTAAGAATTCTCAGTATGCAGAGGTGACTACAATCAGAATGCACTACGTACATGCTTGGAATTGTCAAAGAACAAAGTGTAGACGAATTTCTAAGCAGTCTTATTAAATAAAGAACACGGAGCCAAATGTAGGGGTGAAAGCCTTAGAGATCAGGGAAATAGTGAGAGCCACCAACCACCTTACCTCACCAGCTCTGCAGCTTCCAAATGCAAGCTGCTTCCTGTCTATCCGTGCCTTTATTGCCTTGCTGTTCTGCCCTCTCATTGGCTCTTAGCCCAGCTACCTCACTTCCTTGTCACTGCCTATCTGTACAGACCTCCAGGTCTCTGTGGTTGGTACTGGGATTGAAGGCATGTGTCACCACGCTTGGCTCTGTTCCCTAGTATGACCTTTAATACACAGAGACCCTGCCTGCCAAGTGATCAGATTAAGAGCGTGGCTACCACTGCCTGACTTTTGTGTTAATGGCTTGCTATTATTAGTTCTTCTGATCTCCAGGCAAACTTTATTTATTAACATACAAATAAAATATCACCACATTTCAGCACAAATAAAATATCACCACAACAAATTTAATAAAAGCTCTAAGAGGTAAATACCTTATTTTATATAGAAAAAAGAATTGTTAGGATATTGGGAAATGGATGACCTTGAACTTCTGATCCTCTTGTCTCTGTCCCTGAGTGCTGAAATTAAAGGTTTATACCATCACATCTATTTTATGAGCATTGTGAGTGCTTGGCAAGCACTCTACCTACTGATATATATATCAGTATATATATAATATATATTATATATATTATATATAATATATACAGTGTATATATAATATATATTATATATATAATATGTGTGTGCTATATACATATACATATACATACACACACACACACACACACACACACACACACACACACACACACACACATATATGGCTGCAACAACCCATCAGCGAATGGTCCTTCAGTCTATGGGGGTTTGGACATTGAAAGGCCTCATCTATTCCTGAGAAAAATCCTATGTGAATTTCATGGTTTACACTTTCCCTCCTCTCTCCTCCTCTTCGCGTGGAAACACTGGTCCACTTTGATGTACAGATCAAGTTTTGATTTCCTTCCAGATGTGTCCACTCCACTCTACCTTCCCTTATGGTCTGAAGTGGTGTGTCTCCTGTGTACTACATGCTACATGGATTTGGGTCTTCTTCAGGAACCATTTCATCCCACTGGTCTATTATTCTTTTTCTCATTTTGACTCAGTTCTTTGAGGCCTCCATTGGGGTGGCACTCTGCCCCTCGAATTCCTTGAAGACCCTGTGAAGTAACGTGCAGCCTTACCTACACAGTTCTGTGACTGTTGCAGCCTCAGTGACTTCAGGCGACACCCAGCTCACACTGTTCTAGGGTGTTCTGGCTGACTTCAGCTGTTGAGCCTCTGCTCTACGTGACTTTGTTCTGTCCGCAGGCCAGTGGGTTAGCCTGGGAATGTAGTGTAGCCCCCTTGGCACTGGCAGAGCACAGGAAGGTGAGCACAAAGACAAGGTCCATAGGCCATACTGTCACCTTTGACTCACTTGGTCCAGGCCATGCAGCTGAGCCAAAATCAAGGGCTGGGAAGTCTGACCAGGAAGAGACTCCTGCAGATGGCGAAGTGTTAAAAGACCCGTTTCCAACACCTGCTGACTAGGCATGCAAAGGAGGATGCTTCACAGAAAAGTCCAGGTCCTCTTCTAATGTTGGGGATGTCAAGAAGCTGGTAGTTTATATATGAAAATCTCAATTCAGAAAATCTAATAGAGATAATTAGGAAATCTTGCATCATGTCTCCAATAATTGATAAATTAGTGTTTTGCATAGTTGCTATTGACTTTTTTCAGAAACTAAGTATTTTAGAGCTTAAATAGCCTCTGTGCCCCCAGCTCTCCTCTTCCCCAGTCTGTGCTGCATGTTCTGGCATCATTATTATAATGCAATATTCATGAAAGGTTGCACTTCTGTTTAGGGAATTTAAAGAAATTATATACTATACATAATTCTAGAAGTGCTTTTTATTCAATAGTGTATTAATAATCTAACTATATTAATATATACAGTCTTCATTTAAGCTCTTATACTCTATCAAATGACTGATATCATAATTCAAATACATTTTTCCTACTGATGGATGCTTTGGCATTAATTTCCACTATCATAAATACTTAAAATCACATGCTCAAAAGAAATAAATATAATTTTAGCAAAATGTTAAAATTATCTAAAATCTTATGTAAATGAAATCTAACTGAACTGACAATAAAAAAAACCACCACTCCTAATAGATATGTTGTTGTTAGGGAGCAGCTGCCATTATGACTAGTCAGTTCTCTACTGAAACAAGCATTATCCACGGAAAGAAAGGTCTTCAGCAGACAGTAAATAACTGTACCACCGTCCACACGTACATACTCCCTCCAGCCCCAGGCAAAGGACAACAGTCTGCATCCAGCACTGTCATTTCTGTTAATATGTAGTCAGGATTCCTGATAACACTGGCTGCTTCCCCAGATCAAAGGCTTTTACAGAGGTCTCCACGGCATGTTACAGTTTAACTTGCCTCATTTTGTTTTCCGTGTCTCATACTAAATCTAGGAGGAATACAGGATTCTAAAGCTAACTTAGCAGAGAATATTAAGTCAAACTTGAATGCTGTATGTGTGGAGCAATTCTAATTAGAGGAAGAGACAGGAAGCAAAATCCAGATGTTTTCCACAGCAGTCCTCATTTCAGCTGCTTTGATTTCCACTGGTAAGTTGAAAGCACATTGTTAGAATCCTGGTTAATTAAAAAAAAACTGATTTAATCCTGATCTTAGGGGTAGACTTAAAAGTCAATGATAACAAATTTGCAACATAAAATTAAAATTGCTGTAGGTGAGAAAACGGTGTAGGGCCGTGGGAATGTCTCCACCATCTCTTCTTGATGTTCTTATTCTTTAGTGAGGGAAATGTAAACATGGTGTAGGAAGACTTTTGGACAAGCCTTCCAATCCTGGCCTGGAATTTATTTATTTATTTGGCTTTTAAGACAGCATTTCTCTGTGTAGCCTTGGCTCTCCTGGAACTCACACTGTAGATCAGGCTGGCCTTGAACCCACACAGATTTGCTTGCATGGGGAGAGCAAGGGGGTTCTCAGTCTCTCCCCTCGGTGTTTTTTTCCCCCCATTTCTCCTTCTTTAAGAAGTGGAGTAGACCAATACTCCAGGGTGAGCATGCTAGCTGCCTCTCTTCTTTCTCCTGGACGCAGGTCAACCAGATGTCCAGGCTGGACTTTGCCTCCCAAGTGCTGGGGGTAAAGGTGTTCACTGGCTTGGACTGGAATTTAATCAGTTAACACCCCCACCCCCTCCCCACAAAAAGCCTAGAAGATAAAAATCTCAAGTAAGAGTTGGATGAATTGGATGTGGGAAATTCCTGATGCAAGACTGGATTGGGATGAAGGGAAAGTCCCATTGATGCTCATGGTAGGCAAGAAAAACAAACAGATTAATAATAAAATGTCCACTAGATGCCTCAGTTGTCCAGGATAGATGCTGGTTCCAGAGCCATGCTGTTAGAGGTGCTCGAGGATTCATTTGAAGCTTGGATCCACAGTAGAAGGCTTTTGAGACTCACAGTTTAAGTTACAGTAAAGAATATACTTAATGGCCATATTCTATAGCTTTTCTTCACAGCATATATATTAGTGAAGAGTAAAATGTCTCTAAATAAAACCAACTATCAAATTAGCAGGCTCTTGTTTTTGCTTTAAAGTGAGAGGCTAAAATTGTTAACTGAACTTCTATGAATATGAACATCAAGAATCGGGGAATTTAATTCAATTCAATTGATATTACTTACAATATTAACGGTGTAGGCTGCACTTAAAGTTTGTACAAAATACGCTGAGAGAGACAGCTGCCTCTCGCCATGTTTACTCTTCATAACCTTAATATAATCATCTTTACTCCCTTCCCAGCCTTCTTCTGACCTGACTTTAGGCTAACTGTAGTGTAACACTTTAGATTACTTCTCAAATCCCCACTCCTGTGTCTGCAAATATGAAATTTAGTCCATGCTGCGTGAAGTTCACAAGTGCAGAGTATGCTTTGCCTGTGAGTCAGACATTTGCTGGGGTGCAATTCTTAGACCTGACTATAAAGCAAAGTTACCATATAGCTCCTAAGGTTGTTTTCTTTAAAGCTATGCTATTTACTTTTGCTTAGCCATAGTGGTTTCCAGGTCTGGTAACAAGCACAGGAAAATTGGAAAGCACAATTATTATTTTTTTTTTTTTTTGGTTTTTTTCGAGACAGGGTTTCTCTGTGTAGCTTTGCGCCTTTCCTGGAACTCGCTTTGGAGACCAGGCTGGCCTCGAACTCACAGAGATCCGCCTGGCTCTGCCTCCCGAGTGCTGGGATTAAAGGCGTGCGCCACCACCGCCCGGCGGAAAGCACAATTTATACCATGTATTCATGAATGATTTGAATCAGTGAGATAAGGAGTTTAGTGCTTATAAATAAGTACTTTATGTGCCACAGACAGAATAATATAGCAAGGGGGCTAAGTTTTATGTCTGAGTCAGTTGTCCATAGGAAAGACTTACCTATAAACTCCCAAAAGGAGTGGGGAGTAGACATACAAGGGAGACACAGGCTGGAGATGCCCATAGCTCTCACATTTCTCCTCTGCAGCCCTGGCAGGACCATGGGCTAACATATGTGCCAGCAAATCTGCCAATGAGATCCGGACATGCGACAGTTACGGCTGTGGACAGTATTCTGCTCAAAGGTACCTTTCTTTTTCTGGTTTTTCGAGACAGGGTTTCTCTGTGTAGTCTTGGTGCCTGTCCTGGATCTCACTCTGTAGACCAGGCTGGTCTCGAACTCACAGAGATCCGCCTGGCTCTGCTTCCTGAGTGCTGGGATTAAAGGCGTGTGCCACTGCCGCCCGACTCCTCTCCTCTTTTCGTATTGTCTTTGTCCTGTGTTTCCTAGAGGGCTCACAGTGACCTCCCTCTGACAGACTGGAACCCAGTGATATGTGTGTTCAACAATGACTATATCTGAAGCAACTTGTAAGATTTTGCTTCAAGGATGGGGTCTGTACTGGAGACAGCAGGGAACGAGCGAAAGGGAAAGGAATCAAAATGCTCCTCCTCGACTTCTCTACACGCTGTCTCACCTCATCTGGCTTCCCAGCGTAAAAAGAGCCAAACTATTCTGCTGCATTTTATACATAAGGAATTTGAACTGATCGATCATCCGGCAGAGCTAGAGATGGCTACACTTGAATTCAGCCTTTTGGATTCTTTTTGCGTAGGCCATGCTGTTACTGACCAAGGTTCTGGAATTTTAACATTAGAGGCTGACCCTGAACAGGCAAGGACCTCTTGACCCCCTCTAGATGAGGGTCATAGTCCCGAGGTTCTAATATCATGCACGCTGTGGACAAAGCAGCCATATACCTAAACGGTGTCACTGACCTCCACCCTAATCACAGTGAGGCTCTTGCATGATAGACTTACAAAGACATGCAAATACTCAAGACAGAACTGAGAGATGGCAAGCCGTAAGAATGACCTCAGAATGAGTGCACACTCAAACATTTGTATGTTGGACTGACTTCTCGACTCTAGCCATGGAACTTGATCAATGTTGCCTTATACACAATCCTAAGAGTCCCATCCTTGTGCATCTGATTGTTCAGTAGTGCCCACTAGAAGGGAGGAAGCTGGGTAGGGACAGGCAGTGAAGGCAGTGGAAGCCAGAATTGCTGGGTCAGAGAGACAACTTCTAGACGCCTCGCTCTATGGAACGGTTTTGTGTTTCCTGCAGTCTGACGAGCCTGGGAGGTGCCCCTCACTGTGTTAAGGCAGTCTTTACACCAAATGAAGTGTATAACTGCTTCTACTATGAGAAAAAAACAAGACCTGGGGAACATATGCTATTTATACAATAGGTTCCCTAAAACAGTAACTCTTTTTAGCTGGTTTTGAGAGGAGTGGGTGTGTAGTGGTATTCAGTAGTACAGCACTTGCCTAGTACCCATGAGGCCCTGGGTTTGATTCCCAACATTGAAAAATAAAAGGCCTTGAAGGGACCAAGAGTCAGACAGCTATAACATATATTTATACACCCTGACTCATTTTTTAAATACCATATTATTACAATATTTAAGGCTTGTGAAGCAAATATGATTTTAAATTATTTAATTTTTACAATACGGCCATTAGTACTCATGGGCAGAGAGGTTAAAATTGGGCTAAACAGAACAAAATATCCCTGGCCCTGCAATGTTTTCTGGTTGTTTCAAGTTTGGATGCCCAAGGCTAGGATCTGTGCACTATGAACAAAATCCTGGCAATAAATTTCCCTGAGGCAGCCCCTCAGTCTGGGGCTCTTCTTTATATTCTAGAAGTCCCAGGCATCACCCAGGTGTGGATGTCCTCTGCTCAGATGGATCTGTTGTGTATGCACCATTCACTGGGACAATAGTGGGCCAGGAGAAACCCTACAGAAGCAAAAACGCCATCAATAACGGCCTGCGACTGTCTGGAAGAGGTAAGAGTGTAGATCTGGGACACTGTGCTGGCGCTGTGCCGTGACCAACCTCCCAGAGACCCCCTGTGCTGGTTCTGTGCCATGACCAACCTCCCAGAGACCCCCTGTGCTGGTTCTGCACCCCTCTTCTCAGAAGGACAGTTACTAACCCATCACCACACAATAGTTTGGCCGGTTTGAAGGATAAGTGGAATTAAGCAGTCTGCACTGTTTCTTGTGAGGCCTCTTGAGTTATCATCACCGCTGTGAAATTCACCCATGTTTTATAGACATGCTCATTCTTTTCGTTTAGAAATGAAGAAATAAAGCTTATTAACAAAGAGAAGGCATTTCCGATAATGGAAGTGGACTAGGGAGCCAAGGGTAAAATTCCCCAAGGCTCCTCTCCATTGCTTTAGGTACACACTCCACTATTTATCTCTCCTCCTTTAAATGGACACTAGAGTAATGCCTAGTTTTAGGTGGTTGGGAAAATGCTGCTAGGGATTTTCTGGTGCCTGTCTGTGGTGCTGAGGATGGAAGCAGTGTGCATGCTGGCTCTATCACTGAGCTGTACACCCAGCCTCACGTGTACTCTTTTTAAGTGTGTTTATATGTTTGCAAGTTCCTATGTGCAAGTGCGTATGAGTGTATGCACACGAGTGCATGTGGGGGTCACAGGGCAACCTGGGGTGTCTTCCTCAGGTGCCACCCCACCTTTCTCTTCCTTCAATTTTTCACATGTATTTACTTACTTACTTTTGTGCATGGGCACATGTGTGGAGGTGAGGAGACCCAGGAAGGCTTCAGTAGGCTACCATCTATTCCTTCCTAGGGTCACAGGATCGTGAAGGTTTGGATGAATCTGCTTGCTGCTTCCACCTCATTACCTGTTAGGTGGTCCTAGAGATCTTGGCTTTGGCTATGAAATACCACTTCAGAGGTAGTTTAATGACACCGGTTTCTGCTGCCACTTAAGCTACCGAAAGCAGCCAAGAAATAGCTCCTCAAAGACTTGGGGTCCCTCAAAGCCTTGGTGATGAGTTGTCCCCAGAGCCTCTCCCCCTTATTACTTCCCCACTACTGTGACAAAACACACAGCTGTCAGGGCAGAAAAACCATGGCGCTGGGAGCACAGGGCAGCTGCTCGCACTGGGTCTGCACTCAGGAAGCTGAGATGAATGCTGATGCTCATCAGGCTTCCTCCTCGCTTCCAGCCCTTTCTTCAGCCCGGGCCCCTAGCCCACAGTGCCACTGGGCTAGCATGGGGCTTTCCTCCTTGGTTGAACCTCTGTGGAAATCCTCCAACTGAGTGTCTTCTAATGACTCTAAGTCCAGTCAGACTGACAGCAAAGATCAACCATCACACTACCACAGAAATAAACATACATACTCACTAAAAGGTACAAGATCAGGGCTGGGGAGAGAGTCTCTTCTGTAAAACGCTTGCCTCACAAGCATGAGGCCCGAGTGCCATCTCCAGGATCCATGGCAAAACCCAACGTGGTAGTGTACCCTTTGAACCCCAGCATTGGGGAGGTCGAGGCAGTGGATCCCTGGGACTTAGCATATTGGGTGAGCTCCAGGCCAGTGAGACACACACACACACACACACACACACACACACACACACACACACACACACATACACACACACACACACTGAGACAACAACCACAAAACAGAGAGAGAGAGAGAGAGAGAGAGAGAGAGAGAGAGAGAGAGAGAGAGAGAGAGATGCTAACTGGGAATGGAGTGGGCCTTTGAAAAAGCCCACCCCCCACTGCCATCTCTTCCAAAAAGGCCACACCTCCTAACCCTTCCTAAACAGTTCCAACTGGGGACCAAGAATTCAAATATATGAGCCTATGGGGTCCATTCTCTGCCAGTCCACCAGTGAGCCAACACAAATCCTTCTTCCATTCAGACTAGGGGATTACTGAGTCAGCTGATCAGTGTGTCTGTGTACTAGAGTTCATCTTCACATGGTCCCAGTACATCCAGCCTACCCAGGGCTACTTCCTTGGTTCCAGATTGCAATGTGGTCAGCACACTCGGCACCTGACTGTGTATTTTCAGCTTCAGGAGATGCTGCCATGCAGTTCTCCAAAGGCTGTTGTGATTTGTACCCTTGCTAAGAGCCGGAGAGTTCCAGATACTCCACACATGCTCCATGCTTCCTGCTGCCTGGCCTGTGCGTTGAGCCTATCACTGTGGGTTGAATTTGCTTTCCCTGATAGCTAAAGACATTGGCACCGTTACAGATATTTTGACAACATGGATAACAATCTTTTGTAATGTGTTTATCTAAATACTTTGCCAAATTCCTACTAGATTGTCCCCTCACTGATACACAGGAGCTTTTTACATTTCTTGATGGGTGTCCTCTGCCAGATGTGCACATGTACACACTTTCTCCACTCTCCAGGGTGCCATTTCCTTACCAGTGTCTTTTAACAGACAGAAATTATTTTCATGTGGTAAAATTCAGTAATTCATTTAATTTCTTTAGACCTGTTAAGACACATCTGCCACCACTGAAGACAGACTTTACTATGTCGCCCTCATATTCTGATCTGCAGTCAGTCTCCAATGGGCTTGTGCAAGACACTACACAGGGACTGCACTTCTTTTGGTTTCATTATACTGTTATTTTTTTCAAATAAATTGCATAGTCAGATGCCAGTTTCTATAAATCCTACTGGGGTTTTGGGGTGTGTGTGTGTGTGTAATGGTGTAATGGTGTAATGGTGTCTTTAAGCCAAAAGTCCTTCAATGAACCATTGTGTCCTCTGATTTAGAGCTCCGTTTTAATACTTGTCCTATTAGTTTTTGTACAGAAGCCTCCCACATCTTCTGCCATCCTTTGTTTAGTGTCTAAGGGTACCGTATGAGTTTTCTTAGACCTTCTGCAGAAGCAGGATTTAACAGAAACATAATACAAGTTGAATATGGAATTGTATATTTCTAGCAGCCTCACTGAAGGAAAATAAACATAAAACCGATTTTAATATTTTATTCAACCCAGTGTCTCCAAAACAGTATTTTAAATATGATTAAATCCACATAGCTGAGTGTGGTAGTCCACACGTGTGATCTCAGCACTCGGGAGGCTGAGGCACGAGAACTACACGAGCTCCAGGTCAGCCTCGGCTCCAGAGTGAGACTCTGTCTCAAGCAATTGCCAGCTGGGCCACAACTCTAGCATTTAGAAGACCTGCCATAGTTACATGGAAGACTGTGTTTCAAAAAGCCAAACAAGCCAACAAAATAAAATACTACTGAAATATTTTTCATTTTATGCTGGTTGCTTAAAATGTATTGTGTATTGATCATGAAGCAAATCTAAATTCACACTAGCTACATGTTAACCGCTTGCCTTGTTGGGTTACAGTTACTATACTGGACAGTACAATTCACACTAGCTACATGTTAACCGCTTGCCTTGTTGGGTTACAGTTACTATACTGGACAGTACAATTCACACTAGCTACATGTTAACCGCTTGCCTTGTTGGGTTACAGTTACTATACTGGACAGTACAATTCACACTAGCTACATGTTAACCGCTTGCCTTGTTGGGTTACAGTTACTACACTGGACAGTACAATTCCATAGCTTTACTTTCCACCCCAATCTTCACTTTCTCTGTCTGCACTGAGAGGAACATGGTCAAGTTTCCCCTTTAGCAGCTGCTCTGTCAGTTAGAGCATGGACAGTGGTGGGGTCACCTCTTCCTCGGGAATGGGCCGTTAGTGCCAAACATTATTCTGTATGTTTCAACGTGTTTGGATTGCATTCTGGCCTCTGGTAACAGGATCCTTGCTTTCTGCTGCCTCTATCTCCTTGGCAAATCTTTGTCTAGGTCTTTATCTTTGGCCTTTTCAATCACTGGTGGTGTTCTATGCAGTACAAAACGGGTTTATTTGTGCCATCAGGGAAAAGTTGTAAGAAGACAAGCCTGTTCACACTTATAGATCACTCATATTTGATCCCAACACTATCCTATTTTATAATTATTACATTATACTATGTCTCTACTTGGAATTATCTTTAGGATAGATGTATACATAAGTATATATACACATATATCTATATTTTCTAAATATATATACATATTTACACAAATATTTAGAAAAGTATCCTTTGTTTGTTTCCATTTTTCTTTTTTAGGACTAGTAGTTTTGTTAGACTATATATGTCTTGGACATAACAATATTCTGGGTCGGTTTTCTACTGTCTAATGCTTTTCTGCTACTATTCTCCAACGCTTTATTAGATTTTTATTTGAATCTATTCTCCATCATCTTGCTTTGAAATAGGATTCTGTCTTCCTGAGTTTGTTCAGTTCTGTTTCTCTCTGGTTTTTTGTCCACTTCTGCCTTTCCCCACCCCGCAGCCCCACCCTGTCTGATCATTACTCGTCACTCTTAAAGGCTCACGTTTGCCTGGACTTAGCAGCGGACACTCGCAGCAAGGACAGCCTACGTCTCTCGGCAATCTGTTCCTGGCGCTCTCCCTAGGCTTCGCCCGTTCTCTTGGCCCTAAGCTTAGCACTTTCTGCAGCCTCCTCCTTGCCTTGGTGGGCTGTTTCTTTAGCAATGCATTGGCATTTGTGTTGCAGGACACGCAGGACATGTGGGGTAGCAAGTCCCTGAATCTTGGGAGCTTTGGTTCTGGGTTTCCTACCTTCTTTGTTAAGGACCTTCTGACAGCATATTGGTGAACACCATCTTTTCTAAAGAGATTGAAAAGTTTCCAGATTAGGCTAGCTTTTGTGGGCTCCAACCACTGAGGCACAATAGTATCTGTCAGTCCACGGAGATCCATCTCTCCTTTTTTGCAATGACCAAGTTGAAAACGCCCAGAATGACATCCACAATGCATCCCTGAGCAGCCTGGCACTTCCTCTGCAGCTCTCCTTGATTGTAACAAGTATGTCCCTTATACAACAGCAGGTGTACTCTGCTGTGGGTCAAGACCTCTTGCTTCACGGGAAAACCTTGTTTGCCATTCCCGCCACAGACTTGGACCACTTAACCCTTCCACTCTTCACCCAGAGCATCAGAAGCCACTTCTGTGGCCATGAGCTTCTCAGAGAAAGTACAAAGTTCAAATTCATCATTCACTTCAGTGAGTTTCTGACGGCGTGGCTGGGAAGGCAAAACTCAGCTTCAGCCTGACATGGCGGACTACCTTGGAGGTGTCACAAAAATAACTCCACTACTGTTCTCATATTTTAAATGTGTGTGTACACATTTCGCATGTATATGCATGAGTGTGTGTGTGTGTGTGTGTGTGTGTGTGTGTGTGTGTGTGTGTGTGTGTGTAAAGGGCAAAGTCATCTTCAGGTATCATTCCTCAGGTATCATCTACTTTGCCTTCTGGATCAAGGTATCTCATTGACCCAATGCTTGGCCAGTAGGCTAGGCTGGCTGGCCAGGGAGCCGGGAATACATTGGTTTCCACCTCCCCAGGCCAGAGATGACAAGAACACGCCACAATTCTCAGCTTTTTTCATGGGTTATAGGAATAAAACCCAGGTCCATATGCCTGCAAGACAAGCACTTTCTCACCTAACTTATCTCCCCAGCCCTGTGCTTTCAATTTCTGATTTAAACCTGCAGACGTCTAAATAATATCTTCATTTTCTTTTAGGTTTCTGTGTCAAAATTTTCTACATTAAGCCAATTAAGTATAAAGGTTCTATCAAAAAGGGCGAGAAACTGGGCACCCTGCTGCCCTTGCAAAAAGTTTACCCTGGCATACAGTCGCATGTACACATTGAAAACTGTGACTCCAGTGATCCCACTGCATACCTGTAGGTGAAGATAAAGAGCAGCCACATCCTGTTCAGAATGGAAGGGGAAAGATCCGCTCCCGAAGAACTGTGTATTCTAACAGAAACACAATCGATGCAGAACCCACATTCTGATGCCCACTCATTGTCACTCTGATCTTTCTGCCATCTAGAGGGTCAGGGTGTTGTTTTTTTTTAGATGTTTAAGTCCTGATGACTGAAATAAACAAATGAATTCCAACATATCCAGACTGTATTTCTGAGACCTCTGAACTAGCCATTTCTCTGCCTGAAAGTGACAAAGAGCTCAAAGGTCCTTCTATGACAGAAGAATGACAGAAATGAAGAGCTGCTGTCAAGGCTTGGCATGTGACTATAATAAATGCCAGCTGACAGAACGGAGGCTTCTTTTACAAGGAGGTGATGAATTCTCAGCAACACCCTTACCTTTGTCAGGCCAGATGGAGGGACAGCTATTCACAGGGTTAAGGTTTGCTGGTCTTTCTAGCCGCACTCTTTCATGCTTCACGAGAGTAACGGGTCTCCTAGGAGGTGAATGGTGGCATCCTCTAGAAAAAGGCATATTCTAGATCTCAGTGCGGCTGCATGCATACAGGAAGGATGAGGGTGAGAAAGAGAACTACTCTTAACTGAAGTGCTTAGGAACTAGGTCAGGCAGCCTCATCCAGCAATGCCATACATCATTCTATATACAATTACCCAACTTATTACACGTCATTCTTTCTTAATGCTGCTGACAAGAAGTACTAGGAGAAAACAGACTCCTCATTTATAGGTATGGTAAAGGAAAAGACAATTACTTGACTTTTATTACTGGGGAAATGACTCCATTTGTATTCCTATGCATAATAATGTTCATGACAACACTACTTGTCATAGTAAAACCAGAAACAATCCAAATGCCCATTAACACTGACAGATTTTAAAGACCAGGTCATAATTACAGAGACAAATATTATACAGAAGTCATAATAAATGAAGCTCAGTTGAATATAATAATATACACAAATGATAGAAATAAACAGTATTTAAGAAAGGTGAAGCCGGGCGGTGGTGGCGCACGCCTTTAATCCCAGCACTCGGGAGGCAGAGCCAGGTGGATCTCTGTGAGTTCGAGGCCAGCCTGGGCTACCAAGTGAGTCCCAGGAAAGGCGCAAAGCTACACAGAGAAACCCTGTCTCGAAAAACCAAAAAAAAAAAAAAAAAAAAAAAAGAAAGGTGAAAAATTCACTTAAAGTGGGATGCTCTTCTTCCAAAGTCAAAAGAAATAAAGTAACAAAATTTCCAAGAACACATATAGGTGATAAAATTAAGAGAGAGAGAGGTGGGGGGGGGGGGGAGGGAAGGAAATAATGGCGTAATTACCCCAGCGTTAGGGAGAGCAGAGCCACACACATTTAAGTCACTGCAGTGGTACAGTTGTGCAGCCAAGGGTGACACATGAGTACTTCTTGTGAATGAATAGTATGTCACAGAGGCAACTGGACATACGTGTATTTGATGTGTCCTAGAAGAGTTAGTGATGTTTCTCAGACATTTAAGGACCCACGTTGTAGTCAGCACTTTTTATATGCAGGCTCCTATCATCATCCAGCACATCACAATACCTATGAAGGACTAGTACACTGAAATTAAAGTTTTCCCGGGATGTCATGGCGCACGCCTTTAATCCCAGCACTCGGGAGGCAGAGCCAGGTGGATCTCTGTGAGTTTGAGGCCAGCCTGGTCTACAGAGCGAGTTCTAGGACAGGCACCAAAGCTACACAGAGAAACCAGGTCTCAAACCAATCTCCCACAAAATTAATTTTGATTTACAAATATATGAATCACTGTTCAATTTGATGAGCTTCTGTAACACTCACTGGTGTCCACCAACTTTGTATTGTTCCAGTGGATTGCATTTGCTTTCAATAGCTAAGCAGCGCACTCCTGCAGAAGACACAGAAGGAAGGGGCTTAAAGGCCACTGAAAAGGACCTGAATTAGCTGACCAATGAAGTTTGCTCCACATAATCAGCACTCTGGACTGGTGCTTAGGAGGTAAAACATGGCTAGCGCTTTCAAAGCCAAGCTGATTGTACGTCCACAGAGCAGCGCAGGAGCACTACCTTCTGCCTGCCATGCACATTTTACAGAAATGCAAACTCCAGACAAAGAACATCTTTCTTAGGAAGAACTAGAATACTGCGCCCTCTAGTGGACTACATCAGAGCTGCTCGTAGGTTCTGATTTAAGGTTCAAATGACAAAAAAGAATACTAAGAAACTTGCTTTTCTTCATAAAAGTTATTAAAAATGTGGGGCCAGACATTGCCACGTTTTATAACTGTGATTTAATATGAATAAAAGGATTTTTATTTTGAAAATGCTTTTAGTTAGTTGTAGAAAATAAATGTAATGGAACAGCAAGGTCAGCAGCCAATTGAAGAGGTTAGGTCCACAGAAGGGTGAACTCGTACAGTGCCCTTTTAAGAGGGCACTGATCACACTTGGGGGACAAGAGCAATGCAGATGCACTCACTGTCTGCCCACCCTCCTGACCCGTCCCCCGACTCTGCAAATAGCAAAGGAAGCCTGCAAGGATCACAGGAAGGAAAAGGAAAAAAAGGGACAATCCAGTTGTTCGTTTGTTTCTTCTGTTTGACATGGGGAAGGACCCTTCTCTCCACTCTCTCCATTTGCTTCTGCCCACAAAATTATCTCAAAGTTCCCAGAATCCTCCAACAAACACAAATATTTTAACACGAACAGGCATGCAAATAGGACTAAAATGCTTTCAAAGCTAAAGTTTATGATCCATCTCTAAGAAATGCACTCATCTAGCCGGGTCCTCCGATCCCAGGTAGAGCAGAATTCACAGGCTCTGAAAGGACACGGAGACGCTTGCAGGCCCAGCACCTTCTTGTATTGTTCCCAGCTGTCTTTACAATGTTTTGCCCTTCCTTTCACTAACCCAGGAGGTTACCAACCAGAGGGATGGACACGAATTAATAAACGTAGATCACTGTGATTCACTAGGACACGAATTAATAAACGTAGATCACTGTGATTCACTAGGACACGAATTAATAAACGTAGATCACTGTGATTCACTAGGACACGAATTAATAAACGTAGATCACTGTGATTCACTAGGACACGAATTAATAAACGTAGATCACTGTGATTCACTAGGACACGAATTAATAAACGTAGATCACTGTGATTCACTACTGTGGTGTCTGGTTCACGAGGTTCCCACGGGAGCCACCGAAAAGCCCTACTTAGACCAGAACATGTCACACTTCTCAGAGACGCCAGTCTTCCTTTTGTGGTGCGGCCAGGCTGGAGGGAGAACCATCCCTTGGTGGCTCTTCTCTAATCCCTCTGGTCTGCTGCCTTAGCTTCGAGGGCAAACACCACTGGCACTCGGTCACCTTCCTATCCAGCTGTGCACACCACTGGCACTCGGTCACCTTCCTATCCAGCTGTGCACACCACTGGCACTCGGTCACCTTCCTATCCAGCTGTGCACACCATTGGCACTCTGTCATCTTCCTATCCAGCTGTTCACACCACTGGCACTCTGTCACCTTCCTATCCAGCTGTGCACACCACTGGCACTCTGTCACCTTCCTATCCAGCTGTGCACACCACTGGCACTCGGTCACCTTCCTATCCATCTGTGCACACCACTGGCACTCGGTCACCTTCCTATCCAGCTGTGCACACCACTGGCACTCTGTCACCTTCCTATCCAGTTGGGCACACCACTGGCACTCTGTCACCTTCCTATCCAGCTGTGCACACCACTGGCACTCTGCCAGCCTCCTATGCAGGTGTGCACACCACTGGCACTCGGTTACCTTCCTATCCAGGTGTGCACACCACTGGCACTCGGTTACCTTCCTATCCAGGTGTGCACACCACTGGCACTCGGTTACCTTCCTATCCAGTTGTGCACACCACTGGCCCTTGGTTACCTTCCTATCCAGGTGTGCACACCACTGGCACTTGGCTACCTTCCTATCCAGGTGTGCACACCACTGGCCCTTGGTTACCTTCCTATCCAGGTGTGCACACCACTGGCACTTGGTTACCTTCCTATCCAGGTGTGCACACCACTGGCACTCTGCCAGCCTCCTATGCAGGTGTGCACAGCGTTATCTCACCGAGGCAACAGCAAGTGAGGCCACAGGCTTATCTACCCAGTATTTCCATTACCCTGACCCCAGCTCCATCACACTTAAGCCATTTCTTTCATGCCTGAGGTGCTGTTACCCTGATTAGATTTCAAGTTTTAAATTGTGGCACACACCTTTCTAGTATCTTAATGTGTATAAATGATATGATCTGCAATGCTAAGAACTCTGTCTTCAAGAATTACTATTGTTGTTACCCAGGACACACTATTGCAGCACACAGTTCTAAGATCAAGGAACATACAAGTGAATTAAGACACTTGTCTTACAGAGCTCATCATAAGAATGTATAAGTATGGACAATAAGTATGCAAAATAAGTCTATTTTCCAAACTGTTTACAAACTACAGTGCATCCTAATTGCTTAATAGGTGAGGATACTTGCATTTTGATAATGAAAAGTACTCAAAACTGGAAAATAATAAAAAAGTTTCTTTTTTTGAAAGCTGACCTCTAATAGTAACTGTACACACACACACACACGCACGCACGCACGCACGCACGCACGCACGCACGCACGCAGCAGTGATCTTGTCCTGGTGGAGTTTACAGCACAATGATGTAAACAGGTCACAATGAGATAAGCGGACCACACACAGCACAGCAATGGGTCTACAAAGAAGAGCAGAGTACTCTGGAGATGAGCAAAGGGTCTGACTCAGGAGCTGGACAGTGTCGAGGACAACATCCCCCAGGAAGTGCCACAGGCGAAAGATCTGAGGGAGCACAGAGGGAGCAGGTAGAGAGATGGACAGATGCTTTGCGGTGGCCGAGTGCAGGGCACTTGGAGAAACAGAGAAGGTGGGAAGTGGGCAAAGGGCAGGCACAGTGGCTGGAAATGAAGCCGAGTACCCAGGCAACTTCTAAGACTACATCTTCATCCTAAGGGCAAGCTGGTGAAGGATGTCACCAGTGTTACTAATTAAGTGACAGGTCACGTGTGCAAAGGACATGGCACAGTCCCAGATCAACAGCAGCAGGCTAGTAAACACAGATTTCCAAACACATTCTGCAAAATTTACCTCTTCACCCACACCGTGTGTTCAATTAATAATCACAGTATCTTCTTCTATTTGCTGTACCTTTATGAAATGATTAGTATTACTGGATTTTAACATAATGCCAACTACCTTCCAAGTTAATCTAAAAATGAATTAAAAGTACTCTAGAAATCAAAGTTGTTTACTGAATCACAAGATGCTAAAAATTTTGTAAGTACAATGACGAACACCTCTATAATGGTACCTTGATTTTTAACAGTATATATTTTTTAATACATGTATTGGTACCACAATGAAAGAGATGAAATTAAAATAAAATAACATGAGGTTGTAACATAAAAATACATAAAGGGATCTAATACTGTAAATTATAATCATATATTAATTATATAAATTTCTTAGTAAGCTAAAATATGCCTCCAAAGAAGATTGAGAAGTCTAAGTCTACTTAAATCTTAGGTATCTGTAATCTACCCTATCAACCATCTAATTAACACATAGTGTCTGTGTCCTACTGACAAAGATTTCCAGCTATTCAAATTTGTTATATTGTTTTCAAATGATTTTGCATCAACCAATTAAGACAGCTGGCAAACATTAAATATTTAACCTAAAATAGTTCAGCAGCTCATCTCAAAATTTACATTTGCATAGACAGACAACAGCTAATTCTACTAACCGAAAATTTGGAACCTTTGGTAGCTGGTTACCAGATAGGCATCACATCTGGGAACCATACTCTTCCCAGGTGCTTAGAGACTTCAGCATGAACTTCGTCTGGGGTATAATTGTCATCAGGGACCAGAACCTCCTCCATGATAGACAGCTGGGTGAGCCTTCTGCCGCAGAGTCTTACAAACTCAATGAACGCACTGCAGCTGACTTCACACTCACTCAGGCCCAAGGCTGTTAGGTTTTTACAGTGCTTGGCAATGCAGATAAGTTCGGTGTCCAGGGGCTGAAGGCCGTTTGCACACACCACTAACTCAATGAGCCGTGAGCAGTGAAGACCTATTCGGCCTAGAATGGT